CCTCCAGCCGAGCCAGGCTCCAGCCTCTGCGACGGGTGGTGCTGCCAGGAAAGCCTGCACACAAAAACAATGGGTTTTATGCTCCTATTGGTCACGTCTTGGACTTTCTTCTTCTCTTGTCATAAGTGATTGCATTTGCATGAGTGAATGTTTATTTGAATTATGTAAACTTTTTAACCAAAAGGCAAAGAAAAGCGTGCTATGAGGCACCTTCCTTCCTTTTGGTGCCACCATATTTGATCTTCAAATACAGAATTCTTGTGCAGTGACAACTAAAAAAAATCTGTAATATTTTTACATCTGTATTTTCTACAGCTATACATGACCGGCGAGGATAGGGGTTGGGTGAGCAGGACTGCTGTCCTGCCTGCGTCCCGCTACGTCCTTAGCACGATGCTTCCAACTTTGTCCTCCCTGAACTTGCCCATGCGCTGGCCATCCCGGGCATCCGCTCGTAGCATGACTTACTCTCCTGGACCTGGACACAGCCCTGCGCTCCCAATACGCCTCTTCCTCTGTGCGTGTCCTTATCGCAACGTATCTGTGCAAATGCTTAGTTGCTGTGTGGCCATAATTGTATTCTCAGTTTCTCTCTTTAAGTTGTCTTTGACAAGTCATTTATATTTTGCCTGCTTTCATGAGCTTTTACAGTAAAAGAAAGTTGGCAGGCAATTCTCTACTATCCTACATGTCTCTTGTCTGTCTGATGATTGATTTCCAGTGGGAGTAAGTTTTGATGTTTGAAAAGATCCAGACTATTATTATTGAACATTTGAGTTGTGTAATGGAGGTATCTGTCTGACAAATCCAGAAGGATGTCTAAGTAAAAGGTTCAAAGGCTTAAGGAAATTCTGGATCATGTATAAAACATTGCCCAGCGCCTTGTCTGTAACATCAGATGGAGAATGGAGACAAGCCACAACACCTGAAGAGTACAGCCAGGTCAAGGAAGAAAGGGGTGCGAAATGGAATATTTCAAAAAAGTCACGAGAAATATTCTGTTCTGTGAAGACTGAAAGACATGACAGGCAATGAGATGAAAAGGATCGAGCCTGACCTATAAATCCAGGCAAAATCCCCACTGACAGAGAGGAAACATGACAGCAGTGATCTGCAGCTGAGGTCAAGAGTGGGCAGGCAGAATTGCGTGAATACTGCCGAAAAGGAGAACACAAAAACCCAAACAACAGAAGAGCCTGGGAACTTGTTTCAGGTGTATATTAGCAGCTTGCTTTGTATTCAGCCCGGGCTAAAACTGAGGATTGCTGAAGAGCAAATAAAATCCCCCACTTGGAGCCCGGACGTTTGTGAGTTTTCTCAGGAATGGGAGTTTTGCCAGGAAAATTGCTAAACAAGGGAGCTAGTCACCCCGAGAAAGTGAGTTATAGCAGAGAGCTGGTTCTCGGACCGGTTCCCGAGGGGCTCTTCGGAGAGGCTTAGTCCCAGCTTTGGAGTTACGTTCCCAAGTCTTACACAGGCTTCAGTTTGCTTTTCCCGAGAGACAAGCAAAACTTGCTGTCTCGGTCACGAAAGCGTCGGTCGTGAGCTGACCGAGGCGAGCTCACGTGAAGGCAGAGTGTGTACCCGGGCTGGGGACCCCGGGGCACCTCCGCGCGTGGCACTCGGAGGGGCAAACGCGTTTGCCGTCCCGACCCCCGGGTGCGGGGCTGCCGTCGGGTGC